CTGCTACTGCTACTGCTACCACCACCACCACTATAAGGATCATCATCAACATCATCATCTGTGCCAATGCTGGTACTCCTACTCGCACTAGTAGCAGCAGAAGTCGTGGTGCTACTAGTTAGTCTTCTAGCATGACCGTGACAGCTGCTACTACGACAGCAATTCCATGCCATTTCTACGGCTGCAATCCATGCTGTAGGTCAATCCGCTCAAGATGTCATCATGAATCACAATCCCCAAGTCAGATTTGAAGAAAAATCCTCGGGGCCCTCCTGCGGCAGCTCCTGCCAGCGCCATCTTGGAGGAGCGCTGCGTCATCGTAGGGCGGGACGGGTAGATTCTGCTTCTTGGGCCTTTATTAATTGCTGCCGGAAAGAGATTTTGAATGCTGGTTCAGGAGCACCTGTCATGGCCGAATGATACCAGAACAAACATCAATCACAAATTTGCCACTTCCCCCGCCGAGTGCCTTGTACTTCTCCCCCTTCTTTTCCAGCCCAAACTTGCTTAGCCCTAGCAGGCCGGACCAGAGGGCAGAACCCTGGGCGTGTTAGAAGGCAGCCTCCGGAACTGCTTCCACAGCCCCTCCGCCAGTGGTCAAAGTTGCTGGAGAGGTGCTTAGCGGCTTAGCCTTGGGAGCTTGTGGCTGAGCCTGTGGGATTTCTGATACAAAGAGTCCCAGCCCCAACTCCGGCAGAACCTGGAATTGACAATTCGCACAGGCTTGGATTCTAGAAGATTCCAAAATGCAGGCTTTGCATGATGATGCATGATGCAGAGGGGATGTTTGATGCAATCACCACTTCAGCAGCTCATACTGGTTTTGATACAGCTCTTGGTAAGAAATGTGGACTTGCCGATGTATGAACTCTGCACAAAGCAGCATTGCGTGTGTGAGGTCTTGCGCTCATGTAATGAATGATTTTTGCTGCAGGTGTCGCTGGTCAGGTGCTCTTTGAGCCCTGTAGTAAGGCTTGCACACAGAGATTTGGGATGCAACATCCATAATTGGTAGGTTCCTGCTCACGCAGAATCCTGGGAGAATCGGCAGGAATGCCAATTTAGGGAAAAAGCGGGTGCATTTAGAGAGCCGCATGCAAGATGGATTGCATTGCTCAGATTGGCAGTTTGCAAAGCCTGCAAAGCTCCACAGCTTTAGCACCATTGAAGTTGATGTGCTGCTGTTCTCTGAAGTAAAGAAGTTTTGCGTTGAGCTACAAGATCAGGACAGCTCTGCTGCGGCGAAACATTCAGAAGTGGTCTCTGACACCCTTCCAGCTATCACTGGGTCAATACAAAACACTTGGAGCCAGGACTCTGCGAGTCCAGGATCTTGAGCGAAACAAACTCATATAGATCTGCGCTAAACGTATGTTCGACTTCTGACATGGATGGAAAAGCTTAGTAGTTGTGGCCCATGTTTGTTTCGAGCTTTGAGATCACTCGCCTCCTGCGCAGGAAGCCTGGAAAACTAGCAACGTTTTTAAAATTAAACAGCCCGCAAGAGTCGGACACCTCAGAATCCTGGGGTGCATCTCCATCCGCCTACGAGGGGCTCCAGGATGCTTTGGGATGCTTCAGGGGACGTTTCGGGTGACCTTCATGCCCAGCCTCCTCAGCCTCCTCAGGCCTTCTTGGCCCAATCGAAGCTTGCTGCCTGACAGGTGCCACTTTAGAGTAAAGCTTGAAACTGGCCGTCAAGGCTTTGAAGCTTGGCTTCATGATCCCACAACCAATCCGGCTTGCATGGCGTGATGCCTAAGGCTGTGAAGTCTGATCTTGCCTGAACGGAGGACTCGCCGGTGTAGCCGAGCTTCTCCTTCCATTCATGGGATGCGAACACGAGTTTGCTTCAGACTTCAAACTGGATTCAAGTACATCTACGGGTGCATGAAAGCTGAAAAACAACAATTACGCTCTGGTCTCCTTCCAGCCCGGGTAGATCTG